CCAAAGGCCTCATCTCCAAATATCACCGCCCTGGGAGGCAGGGCTGCAGTGTGTGAATCGTGGGGTGAGGGGTCGCAGTTCCATCCACAGCATAGCCTAAGTGGTATCTTTTGTAGGTCTTCTGCTTCTTCATTGACATATGTCATATGTCCGTTGACAGAATGGGAGCCCATTCTGCAAGACAAGAGGAAGGGGTTTGTACYACAGCAACACAGCTCCCATCCCTGCCCTTCACAGAAATCAGGCCTTTTTGAAAAAATTACAGAAATGTTTAAATAGAAATGGTTGTATGTGCTATGAAAAAAAGACAAATAACTAGGCTAGGGTAGTCTTCCCCAAGTGACAGGAAAGCTAAGCTCTGAGTGGGTGTCAGTCTGGTGGGGGGGGGGGGAGAGCATTCTGTCTCAGGAAACGGCAAGAGCAGTGGCTTCCAGTGGAAGAAGGAACTGAGACTGTGGCTTAGGGCCTCTCAGGATCATTCTTTGGTCTGGTACCTAGATATAAGCATAGGCACTATCTAGAACTGTCTCTGGGGGTGCTTTTGACCCAGAAAGGAGGTTTACTGCTCACCAGCAGTACCACGCATTTGCTGTTTGTGATCCACGTTGGCCTGTGTCCAGGAGGGGAAGGCTGGGCAGACAGGAGGAGCCAGGTCCAGGGAGTGGTCTCTGCGTTTTTGCATCCCAGCACTACCCGTCTCCAGCTGGACTACCACAGGGGACCGTGTTTGTGATTCATAAAATCTTGTTTGTCTTTAAGTGAAAAAACTATGTCCTCACGATAGGCCCTTTTATCAGCAAGCCCAGGAAAGTGAAAATAAATGCACTTAAAATAAAGGTGAAATCCATAAACAAGTTTTGCTTTATGCTAAATGGCTTAGTTTTTTCAGATARCCATGACTTACAGGAAACTCTGCCCATCCAGTTTGCCTTAAAATTCTTTAAATCCGTCTTCAGTCCTCTCTTCTGCTTCTTTAGTTTTAGAATACAAACATGTCTCCTCTAAAGACATGTGCTTACAATTTGCAATTTTGTGTCCCGCAAACACTCTGGAATATGGTTAGCTACTGGAAAATCTGGCGAGCCCCTCTTTAATGGCTTAGGTTTGTACACCACTGTTCCTTTCACCGCATTCTTCTTGCCTTTTTTGGTTTTTGTTTTTTCTATTTTATGTTTTTAAGTAGTGGGCCCACTTTTGCCCTCAGACCTCATTTCATCACATTTTTTAGTGCCTTGTGCACAACTGGTCCTCAGAAAAGGAGAGATGACTGAAGAGGTGATGTTATCTGGCGTCTTCTTGTGTGCATTCTAGTAGGCTGGGCCTGTGATTGGATCCTCACCTCAGGCAGGACTAGGTTTTTACCTAGGCCACCAAATAGCTTTCCATGAGTCCCTGAGAACCCCAGGAGAAGGACTGGTTCTTTKTCAACTCTGAGTCCTAGGCTCCTGGCTCACAGTCATGCTCAATAAGTGATTTTTTTTTTTTTAATGATTAACATGAAGGTCTAACTCATTCTGCGGTATGAAAAAGCCCGTTCCTACAAAACAATATTTCTGGTTGTCATTCTCTCAAAGGCCCTAGGCGTGGTACTGGCCCTAGAAGGAGGCCTCAGCAAAGTTCTTCAAATGGTATGGTGAACTCTTTCTGGTCCTCTCAGCTGTTCGCTTCACTCCCTAGTATTCTCTCTCTCTGGTCCACAGTCACTCAGGCCTTTATCTTTGGCTCCCTGCTGTATCAGGCACCCAAGCAAAATTCATGCTCCTGGCTGTTTCCATCAAAAGAAGGGTCTCCATCCCTTCTTCACTCAAGGCTCTGGGGCTTCCCAAGATGATACAAAGGGAGGCAGAAGCCCTGCGTCCCAGCTGCCCCAGCTTCCTGCTAAAGCCCAGACGCTGGCCTCCCCCAGACTCGTCTCTTTCCCCAGCCCAGCATCAGGGTAAGGAAATGAAGCCCTTCCCTGTGCTCCTCGGCTGGGAGCTCTCACCTCCCTCCAGTTCTCGTGCTCTTCAGGGAATACATCAAAGGTGGACAACTGCTGCACACTGGTGGTTGTGCTTTGYACCATCCCTGGGCCGCGTGCACGCTCTCCCTCTCCAGCTCGTTCCCTGCCTCATGTTGCGTTTATGACTTCATGTTGATTATCTTCCATGYTGGATTGCGATCCCCACCTTTTTCGTTGTTTCCCTGATGCCCAGCACAATAGCTAGCCTAGATCAGAGCTGGTTCCCCCTGAATAAACACTCAAGGAAGAAAGAGAGGAAGTGAAAGCAGACGAGGGTAGGGGCAAGAGAAGAAAAGAAGAAAGCCCCACTCTGAGCCATGGATGTCCTCTCGTTCCTTTAGTTGTTTTTAACCCTGACCGAGGTGCAGATATGTCTGAATGGAAAAAAAAAAAGGACTGGGATTAAAAGAAGAGAGAATTAGGGCATAGGAGAGTGTTGGCCTAATCGTTTAGGATTACAGGGGCTTGCAGGCTTCCCTCAGGGGAGACCATCTCTTCTGGCTGTATGGAACAGAGAGTAATGAGAACTTGGGGACACCAGATTCACTTACCTTCATGCTGACTGAATGGCAATTGGTGTGAACTTTTGGGGGGCAATTTCTAGTGTGTGGTAGACCAGGCTAATAAGTCCAGTGAACACAGAGCATTGCATGAGCCTTACAGRATGGGTGAGTTCAAAAGGACCTGCTGTGCCTCTTCCCAAAGCAGTGCTCACTCTGTTTCTCATCACAATATCAGCCCTGGCTAGCTCCCTGGCAGCAYACGGGGAGGATTCCCCTCCACACAGTGATGACATTCAGCTAAGCCACAATTCCTTGAACCAGGAGGAAACCCGTGTGGTTTGGGGGTTGGGGCGGGGATGAGCAAGCGCAGATTTTTTCCCCTTTGCCCGATGGCTTKAAATTGCAACCTCTCTTTTAATTTTCCATTATGCATCAAACACATCCGTGCCAGAACTGGACAAATGTATTCCGTCTGGAAGGATGATCCCAGACAGCTATAAATTAGAGTTTGTGTACAGAGATTCCAAAAATGTGGCCTCATGGTAGGGTGTCCCTGGGACCAGTCACCTCCTCCACAGTCTGCTTGGTGGCTTCTGGCTTTGGCCTGGAGCCTCTGTCAATAGATTTTTGCTTTGTATTTGGAAACTCTCTTTCCATCAGGCACTGCAGAGGGTGGTAAGGTTGCCCGTCAGGCTTTGCTGGACAACTTGTCCCAGGCAGCCCCCTGACGAGTAGGGACAGCAGGGACAGCAATTGACTGAGGGCAGCACCCTCTTTCCTGCACAGCAACAGTGAGGTCCCCAAACTGGTTTCCTTCTAAGTTAAAGCACAACAAAAGCATAGTCTCCTCACTTTTTTTCTGATAGGAAAAAAAAAAAAAAAAACAAACTACCACGTCACGCTGTTTTAAAACTATATTTTTAAGGTTAAAAGAAAGTCACCTGTAATCTCTCCCTTGGATGATAAATATCATGACTATTTTAACATTTTTAACATGACTTCTTTCCAGGTTTTCAGGCCATGCTGCTGATTTTTAAAATTCAGCAGTTTTTTCAAAAGCTGGTTGTGCCCAGTTCCTTTAGCTGCCCCTCACACTATTCAATTAGCGCTTTCCTCTGAGGCTGGAAACTGTTAGTTATTCCCCATGGGGAGAGTCCAGCTGGTAAAACTCTGCCCTCGGACTCCTCCTCACTGAAGTGCTGCAGCRTTTCTGAAGAAACCCGGGGAGGAGGGAATTGGCCCTGGGGGACAGAAGGTGAAGGGGGATAAAGTCCTGGTAGAAACCCAGCCAGACAGCACCAGGTCCTTTACAAGCTGCCCACAAGACAGAAGGAACCCGTATGCAAAGGTCTCTGGGCTAACCCTGACTTTGATTTTTCCTTGTTAAACCTCTGCCTCTGTGATTTTCATCCTGTTTTCATGTCATCAGCCCCCGGCGTGCTTTTCTCTGTTCCTGCAGGGGCAGACTCTGAATTGCTTGTCTGGGGAAAGACTGGGGCAGCCCAACAGAGACTGGACAGGGTGGCAGCAGCAGGAGGCTATTTTTACATTTCTGCTTATTTTCCCATCATGCCTTGTGCCCAGAAGGTGCCCAGTAAATACGCGTTGATTGATTGATACAGTGAAATCTGAGAACACCACRGCAGGAGCCTGCTGGCCTGCAGCAGTGACAGTCCTGCAGAGGCAGAAAGGGCTTCTGGCTTTAATGCTGAGCCCCACGGCAACCTTCAGAGGGGAGGGAGGGAGCCCGGGTGATGACTCTACCAGCTGCCAGCCTGCCCGGCCACCGCCCGTGCCAGCCGCCCAGCCTCTCCCTCAGCCGCACAGCACAGACCACGTTGTTTCAGAAAATTATTTTTTCTTCTCTCACTTTCCATGGAAACTCAAAATAGTAACCAAAAAAAAAAAAAAAGCCAGGTTCCCTACTTCATCCCCAGGAAGGGGCAGGACAGTGACCACCACACAGGACCGGGGGCGAGAGGGTTACAGAAACTTCTGGAATGACATTCTAATTGGAGTGTGCGCATCATGAGGTGTGGGTGGGTTTGAAGGTTGGTGCATTTTCCTCTGAGAAAGGCAAGTTCCCCCAGGTCTTGGAGTTCATCTTGCTCTTGGTGACCTGGCATCTGAGACCCAGTCACCTCTCACTGTGACGAGTTTCAATGAACCAGCAAAGGACAATAAGGCAAGGAGAAGATGCTGCCAGGGGGACGTTGTTAGAATCGTGTTTCTGAGATGCCCTCAGCATAGCAGGTGTGCCACATAACCACCAGGTAGCTAGCGGGTAGTGTGGACCTAGTGCCATCATCACACCAGGCCGAGGGGCTTGAGTACATGCTTCCACCTCTGTGAGCCTCCCTTTCCTCCCCCATAAGAGATGAAGGGTGGACTAGGTAATGTCCAAGGGTGAGCCCTTGTCTGTGCCTGCACCCGCTAGCGGGTCTGCACACCCCCTCTTCACTTCCATAGTAAATACGGTGTTGTTTGCCCCGCAGCTGGCCGGGTCAGCCGTCATTGCTTTTGGACTATGGTTTCGATTCGGAGGCACCATAAAGGATTTGTCATCGGAGGACAAGTCCCCAGAGTATTTCTACATGGGTGAGTGACTTCAGCTTCCCTACGCTTTAGCTCAGGTAGGACAGCTGGGAGGCATGGAGCAGAAGCTGCACTTGAGCTTTGGTGGGAGGGGGAGGCGTGGAGGGGCAGGGAAGAGGCAGAAGGAGCCAACACCGGAGCCCCTGTGCTCCACCTGGCCCTCAGTGCTGCGCTTAGCGAGGCAGGTGGACAGGACCTTGCTTCTCCTGCTCCCTCACGTGACCCATTCCTCCACTCTCCAAAGTACAGGAAGGCCGGCCGGCGCAGCCAGAAAAGAAGTCTCAAGGAAATGTAATGAAAATTCATTTTAAAGAATTAGAAGACCTCCTGTGTCCCTGGAGGATAATACAAGTCTGTTATTCACTAGTCCATCCAGGGAGACAGGGTGCCCTTACAGAGTCAGGGTTTGATTTTGTGATTTTGTATTTCAACTTGCACCGGAGGAGAATGTAACTCAAATGAAGAGAGATATTCAAGGTTTGGAGGTGCTGATCCCAGTCCTTCCATGACTAGGGACTGCAGAGAGGAGAGGCGGGGACAAGAAGGCTAGCCCTGGAGAAGAGGCATCAGCTCTGCTTCCTGTCAGGAGTAGGAAAGGGGTGAGGAGCACGGGGTGGGGTGCAGCCTCCCACCCAGAGTGAGATGAGCAGGGGTACAAATGGTCACCATGCATTTAGCTCCCTCTGTTTCCAGCCCTCTGCTGGAGCCTTTTCTCATTCTCCAGCTAAGTGGACATGCACTCTAGATTTCAAAAATTCCAAGCCCATTGTCAATGCAAGCGACCCCCGTAACTGACTGGCTGTTTTAAGAACACCACCGGCCATAGAGTAAACTTGGATTGCTTGTTGTGACATCTGTGCCTGGGGAGAAGGAGGAACCCATATAGGTCATTGGCTCCAGAGCCTAATAAGAGCAGAATCTCTTTCCCTGAATCTCTTTCTGAAAAGAAAGAGTCCAGGCCCCACTCAGATCCATGGATGTCCTCATGAAGGACCAAATCACAGCGGCTGGGCCACCTCCTCCCCCAAACACCTTCCACGCCCAGAATCATCCTGTGAGGAAAATCGCCATACTGATTACAATACTTACAAAGGAAAGTAGCAGAAAATCTACTAAAGGAATATTACTCAGCAATAAAAGAGAATAAAGTCATGGCATTTGCAGGTAAATGGATGGAGTTGGAGAAGAGAATGCTMAGTGAAGTTAGCCAATCCCAAAAAACCAAATGCAGAATGTTTTCTCTGATATAAGGAGGCTGATTCATAGTGGGGTAGGGAGGAGGAGATTGGGAGGAATAGATGAACTCTAGATAGGACAGAGGGGTTGGAGGGAAAGAGAGAGGGCAGGGAGTTAGAAATGATGGTGGAATGTGATGGACATCATTATCCAAATTACATGTATGAAGACACGAATGGTGTGAATATACTTTGTATACAACCAGAGATATGAAAAATTGTCCTCTATATGTGTAATAAGAATTGTAATGCATTCTGCTGTCATATATAAATTTAAAAAATTAATTTTAAAAAGATGAATATAATAAGAACATTTATGTTTTATGAAATCTTACATATAGATTTTTTTAAAAAACACCCAATTATTTTAGGTTACATTAAGGAAAAAAAATGCTGTCAATTTAATTAGAACATATTATAAAAGATAAATCCTAATCTCAGAATTGTTAAAATGCTTTTTAAAAAAAACTCAAAAATTGATGAAATGTGGTTAAAGAAGTCTGGAGGTGGGGAATTTCCAGAATTAGTTCGGGGCCCAACAAAGTCATCAAGGACCCCGGTTCTTCTCTCTACTCTGCCATCCTCTGCATGTCCTAAGATGTCCCCTTCTGATTCCAACATAGCTTCAGTGGCTCCAACATTGTGTCCTCAGACAACAACATCCCAACAAGAAAAAAGGCAGTTTCACTTCATATGGTCCTTTTGAGGGATAAATGATATCTTTCTCAGGAGTCTCCTGAAAAGCACATTTCCCCTTGCAGCTTATTGGCCAGATTTGCATTATATTCAATCATGGCCAAGAAGAGAATAACTATGACTGGCTCTCATTAATTGATAATCATGCCTGGGTCTGGAGCAAGGCCCAAGTTCCCCAGAGGACTTATAACAGTTGGACAAGATTGGCATTTTGTGGCAAGGAAAAAGCAGAGGAATCTGCTAAAGACTTAACCCTGAAAGGCTCTTTTCTATCCACATGGCTCCCAGGTGGTACGCACACTTCCATCAAAGCTAGCAAACAGACACTTCAAATATTCCTCCTTGAGAGACTCCTGGCTCTGAAAACTTCTCAAGAAGCATTTTTCTATTCCAGAGAAGCCTTCAAGTGTTCCAAGGACAAGCCTAACCCACCCTTGTTCTGTCACCTTCAACCCACACCAGGGACACCAGGCTCAGGCAGAGGGAAGAGTGGAGAAAGAATGCATCTTCCCTTGCTGTTTTAATCAGCTCGGTGCTACTATGACCAATATATCTGACAAGAACAAATTAGAGGAGGAAAAATTTATTTTGACTCACAGTTTCCTAAGTTCAGTTTATGGTCAGCTGACTCTATGGCTAGAGGAAAGCAGCTCAGGGCATGACAGCCAGGAAGCAGAGAGACCTCTGCTCACCGGGGACAAAATGTAAATCCCAAAGGCATACCCCCCAGTGATCCACACCCTACCTACCTTCAGGTACCACACAGTTAATCCATCCATGTGGATTAATCTACTGGTTAGATTATGCCTCTCCTAATAATTTCACCTATGAACATTCTTGCATTGTCTCACACAAGAGATCTTGGGGGACAACTCATATCTAAACGATAACGCTCATGTTGCTGATATTCCAGAAGCTACCGATCACATAGCATTCCCCACAATTTTGAATTCAGTTTTAACAAAATCCCACTTAATCCCATGTTAAATAGGCTTCATGCCTCTCCAGACAAATGGAGAAGGAACTCTTCACTAATCAAGAGCAGATAATAGTCACAAGCACATGGTAGGCACTACATGAATGGTATATAAATACTGAATTAGAGAGAGAGAGAGAGAGAGAGAGAGAGCACAGGCTGCTCCCATAGAGCTTCGAAGGACAGGCAGTTTGGGATAGATTGAGTTAGGGAAAGCTTTATTCATGACTCTGAATTAGGATTGACAAATAAATATAGGGCAGGCAGCCACGATTTTTACCTTATCTATGGAGACTGTGGCTAATTGTTCAGGGCAATGGAGAAAAGTTTACCCTTAGTTAGAAGGGAAATGCTTGGGAAGACACCAACCAGTTCAGTTCCATTCATAGTCTCCTTCAAGTTGTTTGGCAATAATCAAATGTGCCTAAACTCAGCCACCTACTCACCCTCACTGCCAAGTTTGCAGGTGAAGGATTTCAAGCTCTAAATTGTACTTTGAGATAGAACGAGACATTTTTTTTTTTTAGGAACAATAAAGAAAGTACTTTTTCTGAGATAGAGGTGGACATTTTTTAGCAGTAGTCAAGAAAACCCCTTTTCAAAGACCATGAAAAAAAAACATCTAGAGGAGCTGTATCCCTCTCAATGTTATTAAATATCTACTTATTTTAAAGATCTCTCCATGATTATTTTAATTCTTTGGATTTTGCTAAATATTTGCTAAAACATAGTTTTCAAGTAATTTCTCTTTCCATTTTTTTGTAGATTCCTTCATTTGAGGGAAAAAATATAACCTATCAATATCATTCTCCAGTCAACTTATAGGCCCAGGAACTGGGGGTCACACACAAAAAATATAAGAATGCTGTAATGGCCTCCACATAACTTGCAGTATATTTGAAAAGACTCATTGTCTTAACAACTTAAATTTACAATAAAAGCTAGTGTGTAACTAGGTGCTAGTGTATTTGCAGTGGGTGCATCAAAGGTCATTCAAAACCGGTAAGGCAGGAAAGATTTGAGTTATATTTTGAATACCAGACTGGAAAAGAAGAAGATGAGGATTGCAAAGACTGAGAGTCAAGAATGCACAAGGCGTGTGCACAGGCCAGCCATGAGCAAACCTAGATGGCACAGAGGCGCTTTCAGGGGTGAGGAGTGGGGCATGGTGGGAAGTTAAGATCACTTACTTATAAGAGAGGGAAGGACAACAGATATAAAGGGCCTTGAATGTCACCATTAATTTGATAAGCAATATATAATTTGGAGCTTGTGGCCAGTGGGATCTGTGCTGCGTTCTAAAGAAATTATTCTGGCAACAGAGGAATAAGAGGGCAGGCACAAGACTTAAAAAAAAAAAAAAAGGTATAGATTATTGATATAGCCAGGTGTGAAGAAATAAGGCCATAACCCATAGTTGTTGCAAGGAGAATTATAAAGAAAGCAAGGTAAGAAATATTGTTAACTCCAACTAAGCCTAACTAATCCGACTCAGGAACAGAAGGAATCAAAATGGCACAAGATGCCAGTGATAGAAAAGCCACGTCTGGCAGTAATAATTCATGATTCTCAGGTGAGTTACTGAAGGCAGTTACATGGATCTAGGGATGGAAGCCAGTCCCCAAGTGGCCTGTCTCTGTTGCTCCAGAAACAAAGTGCTAGAGCAATTTCACAGATACAGATTTGGATTCAATATAAGAAAATATTTTTAATGATTGAATAACTCAAAAAAAAAGTTGAACAGACTCCCACAGAAGAAAATGAACTGTCCTTTTTGTTGGTATTTCACCACTACTGTGACCAAAAAAAAAAAAAAAATCAGGATCAAGTGTTTTGTTAATTGAGGAGATTATTGTGTTGAGCAGAAGGGTGAACTAGCACTTCACGGACATTCCCGAGTCTGCTTTCTAACCTCAACCAGAGCAGTTTGCATTCTGCCTGAGAAATGAGAGAGCTGTCCCATCATATCATATCTTCATGGACTTATCTGACTAGACTCTTCTATGTCAAGTCACAGAGACCTCCTCCAATTGACATGAGTAAAATAGAAATTTATTGACTCACATAACTGAAGAGTCCAGGATTAGTACTGGTCC